CCAAGGGAAAATGCACTGCCTGTTCTATTTCATTTTTAAAAAGAGTAATTTCTTCTATTGTTTCTTTATTAATAAATGCAGAAACTATGTAAAAGCAATGCACTTTCTATTTCCTGTTTCATTATAAGAACTAAGGATTACTTCTGCTCTTTCAATAATTATAAAATGGATCTGTAAGTTTCAGTGTCAAATTTATTTTTAGGATTCTTTGATTTGTTTGTTTGTTTGTTTGTTTGTTGTTGATTTAGAGTTCTCTAATAATAGGGTCTTCCAGTAGAGATGCTGGCACAACTTTTAGTCTAACAGTTCTTTAGTGGTCGTTTGAGGAAAAAAACCCTTTTTTGCTATAGCACAACTCCTAGTAAAAGGAGAAGTATTTATATACTTACAGTTCCAACTAATCAAGAAAAGGCAGTGATAGACACAAAACCTGATCCTCTTTTTGTGTCCCCCTGGGGTTACCCAGGCTCCAAAAGGCCACAGAGCATGCCTTGACAGCAGAACAATTTATACAGTGAAGTGTCTTAAATGATGTTCTCCAGAATCTAATTGCAAAATAAATGGTAATGTGCTTATTCTGTTCTTGTTTGGCTGCCAGACAAGACAGTCATTGCTTCTCAAAATATAAAGTGAGCTCTGCATTGCCAGGCACAGCAGGCTGACAATAGTCTATGGAAGGCTAAGTTTCTGAATTTCATTAACTGTATCTGATTTTATTAATTTCTTTTGTTTTTTGGTTTTTTTTTTTCTAGTGCAATAGTAATAACCTAAATGGCATCCTAATATTTCAAGATTTTGATATATGTTGTGAGAATCCAAAGAAAAATTGCTTAAGCACTGTAGTAAGAATCAGTCCAAGACCAAGAAATAGGGTAGGAATAGGAATTTCAGCTTTAATGAAAAGTGAATATGGCAGAGCTTTGCTAATTACCTGTATGCAGACATTCCATATTAAAGGAGAGAAACTGAAAGCTCACACTTAGCTCATTGGTAAAATGGATATTTTACAGAATGTTAACATAAATTCTAATACTTTGAATAGTGATGATTAATGTAAATACCCTAATTTTAATTTCTAATAGTATACACTACTATCATGTAACTAATAAGAATAGCAAAAGATAAGTGAAAAGCTTTTGCTCCTTAAGAAAATATTCCTTCCATGGAGCATAATTTAGGAGTCTGATTCCCATTCATTATGTTGCCAGACTAAATGGCACTAAAATGTTTAAATCAGTTCTAGGAAAGATTTGATAAAGATTGTTTTAATCTCTAGGCATTAGGAAGAGAAATATTTAAGCAGCCACTAGACCTGATGTTTGAATTTTTAGCTACCTTTAAATTTCAATAGACAAAATTATAAGATGCAGTCATAAACTTGAGCTTGTGGCACATCCTGAACTCAGCTCCACTGTATTCTTCCTATACAAACTGTAAATTATCAACATGCAATGGAAGTGTTTAATTACCATTAAAAAAAAAGTGTTATATTAAAAAAAAAAGTTTCATGGAGTTCTAAAGAAATGTTTTTAAATAGAGAAAGTACAAAATAGTACACTTGCTGTGGTTATAAAATAGTAACCGAAACCACTCTAAAGAACCAGCACTGCAGTATATTTGTCTCCATTATTAGTTTATACTATTTTTATTTCTCATCACTTTCTCCCCTGAGGAGCAGGACAATAAAAATGGTTCTTGTCTCACATGAGCTAAAATTGAAATCTAAGATAATAAAACCCCAGAAATTCAAACAAACTACTATTCAAGAAAAATGTATAAAGAAAGTCCTATCCAAAGCTGTAAAATAATATAGCACAATAAAATAATGGATATGATTTAATCTAGTAAAAATGTCTGTTATATAAAGTAACTGTCAAGGACACTAATTGAATTCCCAGATGAGTGGAATGGGGGACAGGAATTAATTGTTGTGCTGGATTGGAGAAGTCTGTTCTACCTGGAGAAGGGTGATGTGCAGGTTGAGTAGCTCAGTGTCACTTCCATGATCCTGCTGCAGCTGATTTTTAATCTGTGCTGGTAGGATTTAGCTCCCTTTTAGCAGCTCCTGTCTGGAAGGCGATCTGAGAGAATGAAAGTTTATTACTTATAAGAGACAAACTGGTAAAAATCAGTATGAGACATCACCTGGAGGCACATAAGGCACATGAAAAGTCAATTTGTTAGAAAATAAATGCATTTTTTATTTGTAAGGTGAGCAAATTTAGTTTGGGAATAATTTATAAACAATAATTATAGAATCCCACAGTGCCAGTTTTTCACAATCACTGTTCACAGTAAGCCTCACTCAAAAAAAAAAAAAAAAAAAGCCCTACAAAAATCCAAAAAGATACTTTTTCCCCAAGCTGTGAACATGTGAACTTCTTTCATAGCAGGAGTTCCCTGCCAGTTTATCCAACCCTAGAAAAAACCTCCAGAGACTGGATTGTAACTAATACTATCACTGTGAACTGTGACTGTAACACAGGAGAAAACAATGTTATTTTTATTCTTGTTTTTGATCAATGATTTCAGAATGCTTTTAGGAAGTCAAGAGAATGGCTGCTCAAAGGAAGCTTGTGATGCTTGTAGAGCGTGGGCTGAAGTCCTAGAGGCCTGTTTTATATAATTATTGCCAGTAATCAAGTGAGGGGGTCCATTATTATGATGAAATTTAAATTTCAGAATAAATGCTCTCGTGAATTTCAATACACCAAACAGACAAGTCCATTAACTGTTTGCATTCATAATTTTAAAGGATTTTGTTACCTGCTCCTCAGACAGTGAAATAGGAGTGCAGTGGTGAGAGTCTGCATCTGCTCACACTCACCTCGGGCTGGGAGCACTGGCAGGAAACCTTGCAGGGCTCTGCAAGGCTGACGAGCTTCCACCTTCCTTAGCAGACACTTTGACTTAGAAAAATGTCATTATATGCAATCTCAGCACCTGTTTCTTCCTCGAGAAGCAGTGTATTTTCTACAAACCTCCTTAAAGTATGAGTAAGAGTCTTCATAGCATTTGTATTTTTATTGGGGAATATTTTAATAGCTTTTTTTTTATTATTTTTGCAAGTGTATTCAAATTTCTTCTTGCAAAATACGCAGATGTTCTCTTTTGTAATTGCAGTTATGATGTCCACAATTTTACAGAAACGATTGCAGGTTTTTACTGCTTAAAAAAACCCAAACAAGTAGTCCATATTGCCAGTGATTTATACTTCTAATTTTGAAACGCAGCTTCTCATAGTCAGAGCTGCTGCTTTCATTTTAAGAAAGAGCCCCAGAACTTATTTCACAGAAACTATAAAGTCATTCAAGGCAGTGAAAGATCCTGCTTTTTTAACCTTTCAGAAAGTCGCCCAGTTGAGCAGTCAGGCCGTATTATTCTATATCTTGTCTAACATGAGGAAACAGTCCCCAAAGAAAGATATCCCAAATTAACGCCACACTTCGTTAAATAGAGACATTCTTGGTTTTCACCAAGCTAATTCGATCCAGTTCAGTTAACTCATTTTTTTTGTGCTGGGATCACGGAAGGCAGCCATGAATGGGGCGAGTTCATCATGAGTTTGACACATCCGTGCGAGGCTGAAAGGAGGCTGGGAGGGAGGGACCCTGCCTTTGGCTGGACACACAATACCCGATGAAAAAGGGCCCTCATTCAAAAGGGGTCTCCAGCAAACGGGGCAGGCTGCTGGGGATCACTGTTACAAACAGGTGGAATGGGAATTAGCCAGCCTTGGTTCCTCAGACACCTCTGGGTTTCTGGTTGTGACTGTTCCTCTAATCCAAATGCCCTCAGATGGTTTGCTGGGCTTCTGTGTAAGCAAAAGTTTGTCTGCTTTGGAAATTAAAAATCATGTACAAACTAAGAAAAAAAAATAGTAAAAAAAGAGAAATTTTAAAATAAAAAAATTCTTTACAGAAATAGATCATTTATATTTTACATATTTTTAGTTCGTAAATTTGGCACTTCCGCTTTTACACCATCCAATACGTGGCTTATAAATTCAGACAACAGAGTGGCAAACAGTCACAAAATACATGTTCCCTAATAAAAAAAAAATCTTTAAAATTAAAAAAATTAAAAATATATATTTTTTTAGCTCTCAGTCACACATCACCCTCAAAGCCAGTATATGCAGTCTAACAAAACAGATTCTGTGATACGAAAGAATGTGTCTGCTGTGGTGCTACCAAATAAATAATATTTGTGAGCCATACCCAGATTCAGAACACATTTTCAGAGAATATTTTCACTCCAAACTTGCTGTAGCAAGTCCATTAAGAGCACAGCATCACTGATTTTTGAAGATATTTGCTAATAGTTACACCAGCCTGAGTGGACAGTTTCTTAAGCCTGACATTTAGAGAGTGACTGTCTTTATCAGTATAAACAACATTATGAAAGAGCTTTGCTTTCTGGATATGCACAATGATCAATAGGTTTATAAAATAATAGATTATTTACTCAATTTTATGTACAAAATAAATGGAGCTGACAGAAGATGGCTTTTTAGCCCTAAGCTGGTGATCTCACTAGAATTTCTGCAGGAACTTTGTTCTCTAGGAGCTGGGAAATGAAAGCTGGGAATACGTGTTAGTCTGTAGGGTTTGGTTGTTGGTTTTTGTCATCCCAGGGACCTGTTTCTAGGATATTTCATTTAAAGTAGCACTCCATGCTTAGAAGCTCAAGCTAAGTCTGGAGATAAGAGGAGAGATAAGGTAGCCAAATCCATAATGGCATTTCTTGCATTTCTTAATAAGTTATTCAAATTTTATGACAAAAAGAATACGAAAAATACAAAGAATTGTGAACAAAGAATATATTAAAATTTCCTTTAATTTCTAATATTTTCATTTCCTAAGTTTAACAAATCAAGAAAATAAACCATATTAAATACTTTTAAGCTGTGTGTTTAATGCAGTACTGTATTCTAGCAGATGTTTTGGTCAAATAAATTTGCACTGCTAATATTTGTTTGGCATGTTTTTCCCCCACAGTTTTAATGTGAATCCTTCTGGCACTGAGGATCTCAGGAAAAGAACGGTGAGTTATGAAATGTTAAGGAAAGCCATCAGTAAATGACAACTAATTGGTACTTGTATAAGCTTATAAGCTATTATTCTTTTTAAACCTCTTATATGGAAATGATGGGTTTGTTTGTTTGTTTGTTTGTTTTGACATATCCAGAAAACCTAAATACAAAAGCACAAGCTTAATGTAAATTTGGAAATAAAGAAGAGTTTTGCACTCAATATGGAGTTTAGCTGTGATATGATGAAGAAGAAAATACATAGTTCTTTGCACAAAAAGTAAAAAAAACTCCAAAATCAGGTGAGGAACTCTGCATTAAGCAGTGATGCATTAATTGACCAGACAGGAATTTACCATCACTATAATCAGAGACTTGAGGACAATCTTCAGAAAGCAGATCAAAATTGAAATTATGACCTGATATACGGTAGGATTAATAATACACATAATAAATGAACAGATGAAAACACTAAAAACCAGACATACTAGAAGTATTATTCAAAATGCTCTTGTTTCTAAAAGTACTGAGAATAAATTGTGTACTAAGAAAAGACAAAAAATAATCCACAGATTGCCTGAGCAATCTGATTGTCTTTGTTTGAAGGAAATGTGGTCTTACTAGAATTTGTTCTGTGAATAGATGACATCTTTAAAAGTGGGTTTGTTTTCAATCTCTAAAATATATAGAAAACAAGTTTCACAAGCAAATATGACTTTGTACTGTTTGTTTTCTGCTGGTTTATGTAAATGATTTGTAATAACATTTGATGTTATTGTAAATGCCCAAGTTTTTATAATGTAAGTAGCTGGTGGGAGATGTCAGAGTATTTGAAAGCTGCCTTTGATCAGATAGTAAACTGAATTCTACCAGGCAGTTACTTAATCTCTGACAAAAAGAGACATCAAAAAATTGATTTAACTTAGCAGCCATTGTCTGTAAAGTAACCATAATTACAGTTTCTATGTGCTTGCAAATGTACTACTGCAAATAATGTAATTTATTGCTGGTAAAAGCATCGGTTTAATTCTTTTAAGAAACAAGATGTGAATTGTTTTATTTAAAGGATTTAAAGGTGATAAAAGAAATCCTTGATGATTTTTCTTTTGGAATACCAACCATCCTAAATGTCAGTCGTAGGATTATGAGGTGGTGCTCATTTAATGCAAAATACAAATTAGGTGGGGAAGAAACCCTATCTGAACCATAGTTTTGAATGAAACCATTTGAATTTCTTTTTAAATATTCAGGATTGCTTTCTAAGGTGTTTGAAGTAATTTATTATTAGATTCTGTAATATTAGCCCTCGCCAAGTTATTATATTTCTTCCTTGTGCATATTATTTAGTAATTATGTTTGTATGTCTTCTCCTCTGATGCCAACACCTGTCTCTGAAAGCAATGTTTAAATGGGAGCAGTAGCCAGTTGAAAGGGCAGCCTGAGCTCTTTAAGGCCTAATTAAGAACTGAAAGGAAGATGAAGTAAGTAGGACAAAAGATGTGAAAGTGGCTTAGATGATATTCCCAGAGCAGAATTCCTCATTAGAACAATGAGGAGATGATCAGGGATTGCCAGGCCTTCATTTTATGTAATGTAGTTTCCTCTTCTGGTAGTGTGTACCCCAACAGGGTTTTGTAGCTGAGATAATAATTCTTTGCATGGTTTGTTTAGAATCCATTTTTTTCCCTTAATAATTCATTATGAGATTATTGTTATGCATTAAAACTGTGGTATCTATTTTTTGTCAAGAAAAGTGTTTCTTATACATTTAAATATCACCTACTGGCTCAAGCTGAACATATCAAATCTTGTTATTTTTAACAATATTAATTTCTAAATACCAGCACACTTCAGCTAGAATTTTCTTGCATAAATAATGTGAAAGGTTATCTCCCCCAAGATGTGTATGGAGCAGGTGTATGATAAAGTATCTTTAAAGCATATATATTGCACACAACTTTCCAGTTTACTTGATTGCATAATTAAGGTCATAATTGCACCTTAATTCCTGTTCCTTTGACAAACCAGAAAATTAGGCAAACCCTCTATTTCAGCCATAAAAGTGTTAATGGTATTTTCTCCAGTGTGTACAAAAATTTAGTAAAGAGAATAAAATTTAATAAAGAGAAAGTTTTACTTCCTTCTTGTAGAAGAAAATGTGCTAAAAATATGACCACAAAGTGAAGTGATTTTCTCCTCTATACTTGTTGAAAATCGATTACTAACCAATTTATAAATTTCATCAGGTTAGCCATTTTAATAAAGTGGGAGTTGCTGATTACTTACAATCCGTTAACTTGGTACGTTTAAAATACTGAATATACTCATAAATGTGACATTAAATGTCTCGAGTGCAGAGAGAAATGCTTAAAAGCACATATTTTTGAGAGCTACTGTTGGACTATAATTGATGGAGAGAGACTGATCTGTCACACTTCAGCCTATTTGCAGGGCACCATCACTTTTAATTAGGTTCCTTTGAAAACTTTGGCCAGCTGCATATTTTAATAGGTCGACATGTGCCAATGTGCAAATATGGATCTGTATGGAAAGAAAAGAATGGGGCATGGAAAAGGAATGAGTATGACTATTATGTGGTGTTCTTCTTAGCTGTGCAAGCTTTATAATTTTTAATGACGTGCTTCTACTGTAAATAAAAGCTATCTCATGTGCCCTGTTAGAAGTGCAGGATTTTTTAGGTTCCATATCTTCTAAATGTCTTCATTTCTGAATGAGATGAACCATACTGCTTAACATGTCTAACAGTGCTGATACTTTTATAAAGCAACACAAAAGAAAACATTCAGGTTTACAGTCTTTTGGATCACATGTTGTCCTTTTTAAGATGACTAATTTGTCCATCTCTACTAACACCTGCACTTACTGAGTCATCAAAAATCATTACAGAAACAATTCTGTTTTCCTTACTGCTTAATTCTGGGCCTTTCCTGCTTTAAAGCAGGCAAGGTCTTTTACAAGTACACGTTTATTTCTGCCTTAAGTGCTCTGGTGCAAGTAAGATGCAACCTTTTACCTTCACCTGCGATTTAAAATTGAAAGTTTTATGATGTGATTCAGAAGCCAAGGCCTGGAGAACCACTGGTGACTAAAAATATGAATGAGGGCTGATGTCATTTAGAGCTGAGTAAATGCTTTGCTGTGATGCTCTCCAGAGGCAAAGACTCATAGAAGTTACAGTGGGAATTGAATTCTCAGGGCTTTTCTCTTGTTATATAATTAAGGTGGCAGGTTTCCCAAAATGGACCTGCCAGCTGTTCAGTGCTCATATGGTGACTAACTCTGACACACTAACTGTGTGTCCACCTCACTGAGAAGATTTTTTTCTGAGATGACAGAGTGGGAGATGTTCATCCAAGTGGGCAGCCCGTCTCCAGTTGTCTGCTCCAGTGGGGGTGTTGGAGGGAAAAGCACTGAGCAAACAGAGGTGTTGCTGAAAGAATTTGCTTTTCATGTCAAGAGATGTATAAAAAGCGATAACAATAAATTTTCTGGGAAAATTGAACTGCTTAATAAAATCTGGTGTTTTCTAAAATCTGGAATTTTCTTACCTACAGGAAGGAAATCCTTTTGATGCCACTGCAGGGTACCGAAACCTCACTTATGAGGAGGTTCTGCAGGAGCTGGTGAAACACAAAGAGCAGCTCAAGAAGAAGGACACCCACATTCGTGAGCTCGAGGATTACATTGACAATCTGCTGGTACGAGTGATGGAGGAAACCCCCAGCATTCTCAGAGTGCCATATGAACCTTCTCGGAAAGCTGGCAAATTTTCCAAAAGCTGAGATAGTGGTACTTGAGGGTACTTTCTGCTGAATGCATTAGTGGAAGGAGATCACACTTTAATATTTGACTTCTCTTCATTCCTTTTGTCTGAAGAAATTCCAGGAAAATGGAGAGGAGAGACAATGGCGTGGGTTGTTTTCCTTTATGTTTTTTTTAATCCAAACACTAGCAGGGGCTGCCAAAAGTTGTTTTCTGTTAGATTACCTAGGTAACTTTTTTTTTTTTTCTTTTTGAAAACACCTTTAGGTACAGAATACTTAAAATAGAGTTAATAATACATATTAAATATGTCCATGCAGTTTATATAATAGCTTAGTGTTCACCATGTGGCAGTTTCAGCTGGGAAGCCTGTGCTGTTATGAATGTTTTCTTGAATGATTACTGGTATTAGGCAAATATATTGATTCTTTTTTTACAGCATGCCATCAAGACCACTGTTTTCAATCCAGTGTAGTACTCTACTAAACCTAAGTGTGGTTTGTTGCAATGGAATGTAGTTCTGCACATATTAGAGGAAAACGGTGATGCACAATCCTTGCAGAGTAAATGCTGTATTCTATACAATGTGCTTTTTATATAACAATGTAAAAAGAACCCCGTGCCATTTCTGTCATGGCACATGCTGGAGCCAGTTATTTTACACTTAAATGCTGAATTTTGTGTATAATGAGTGAACTTTGGTAGCGAGCTCATGGCATAAGGTTGTTTTGAGGATCTTTTTGTATGAAGTTAGTGCATGCCTTTTTATGTGTTAAAAGTACTTTGAACAGTGTTCACAGAGTCAGAGGTACAACTCAAGTATAGAATAAAGAAATGAATAATTTCGTTCAGTCAAAGTCTACTACGATGAAAATGTAGCAGAAATGGAGAGGCTGACTTAAATAGACACGAAAAATCAATTAAGGTTGAGTTTTACATGATATATGTGTCTTAACTTTTTAAATCTTACGACAACAAAGTAGATGCCTTTAGAAATAGGTCATGTTGCTTAAACACATACAGAGTATTGAGGCTTTTCCTTAAAAATGTCTGTATTCCATGTAAATAGTTCTAAAAGTCGGTTTTCTTTGAGGCAAATGAAAGAAGAATGTAGTAAATATCTTCTTGGTCATTTAATAATTATTTGTAAAATGATGTATGAAAAAGGTATCTGTTCTTCAATGAATTGGAAAAATATGTTGATGAAGGTATAATGGGATAATACTCTAGGAGAACCCTCAAAATGTTAAGATGGATAGATTTTAATTTTAATTTCCTTAATAAGAGTCTTACTTGGATTTTCTGTTGCTGTGAGACAGTAAAATGTTATTTAAAACGTACAGAGAATATTTTAGATTTGGATTTAAGATAACTTTCTTTTCCTCTCTTTCTGCACCTGATCTATTGGGTTTTTTTACAACACCGTGATATGGCTGCTGCTGAGGTGACCAAAAAACTTGAAATTAAATTCCAATTTTTGTTGTTGTTGTAAAAGATTTTAATGTATTTTCATTTGTAAAACTGCAGAAATTGGTAATATCTTGAATATTTCTATGTGGAAGGGTTGAGAAAGTTCTGACTGCTTTTGACATCATTAATGTTGTAGGACAGCACAGAATTATTCTAGATATGAAAAATCTTCTTTGTAAAAATATTCTCAGATTTAATTTACTTATTTTTTTCCTTTTTCTCCTTTCTTTTCTTCTTTTATTTAGCAACTACCTCCCAACCCCATTTAGTGCTGTCCGTAAAATCTATGCAGCCAGAGTTCCCAGCCCACCAGTGGGATCCCTTAGTGTGGATCCCTGTGCCTGGATGGATCCTGAGAGATCCCAGCCCTGCCCAGCTGTAGAGCTCTGCATCTGCATTTTGTAGTGCAGAAACAGAAATCCATCCCACACCAGGCAGTCTCTCGTTTGTCAGGATAAGGATGTATCAAGTTTGGTACCTCAGAAACCACGTGAATGTTCTTTTGACCCACTTAAGATCTCCATGACTGTAAATTTGTTGTAATGTATTCAAAGTGCCAAAGGTTATGTACTGGTTTATGGTACGTTTGCTGTTGGAAGTTGGGGTTTACACTCAATTAGATTTTCATTTTCAAATTACACCAAGATGTATTTCAGTTACTCGGTATTTCCATAAAAGTTCTTAAACATTTTGAAATGCTTGGCTGAAGCCAGCGGTTTTCTCATGTTGTTGATGGGGAAATGTTGTGCAATTGTTTAGAATTCCACACTCATTTTCAGCTAACTGGTATGAGAGCATCTCTAGTATCCACAGTGCTTAAATCATCCCCACCAGTGAGGATTAACAACTGCACTAACCAGACAACGTGCTCCAATGACTTCTCACATGCAAGCCAACTTACAATTATTAAAATGAAACTCTACTATATTTAGCACCTCTGAAATCACTTCTTTTAGAATGTAAATGTAGAATATCAAACTGCATAATTGACTAAAAGCAGATCATTTGACATATTTGCATACCGAGAACGATAAGCAGATTAAAGGTAGCGAAAAGATCAATTTTTGTGCATTAGTGAACAAATTTAGTGAAGCTTTGAATGTGCTATCTAGTCTTTATCTGATCTCTAAGTGAATAAAAGCACCTTTTGTTTCTAACAATTTGTCAAGAAAGAGGGGAGAACAACAAACGCAATATAGGAAAAGGTAAAGTTACTGAGAGGCAGAATGGAACATCAACGGTTATGAAGATATTTTTATAGAGTTTATAGGTAAAAATACAGGCTACTTTTGGAGCAATTCTTGAAAGATTACATACATGTCATTTTCTGCTTAGAAAGAAAATTTTAGCATTTTCCTATATTCCGAGATTATTCATAAAAAGCATCTTCACCCCACATGTGTTTTTTGAACCATGCAGCTTTAAATGAAAACTTTTCATACAGAGTAATCTGTACGTTGAAAACAAAGGAATTTCTGTTTTTCCCGTAGGATAAAATTGTAGACTTTCTTGCAGATCATTTTAAACCCATAAAAACTTGCCACTTGTGGTCAGTTTTTCTTGCTTTTTGAAATATAGGGATGAAAACTTTGAACATCTCCATATTATTTTGATATTTTCTCTCATAGATTAGCATAAGAGTTCTCCATGCATGCATTATATTTTGAAATTATCCTGCTCATAGCCATGTATTTTGCTTACTTGAAAAGGACAAATATGAAGGCCATACTTTAATGTTGTAACTCAGAAATGTAAACTTTCTGCCATTAAAGAAGGATGTTTAATATTTATATATGTTACCTCTTGCTGCTGTATTTTACATTTAGCTTGGTTTTCCACCTCCTAATGAATGTAGCATTCTCCCTATATTATAACTGCATTTATTGCTGTTGGCTCTGTGTCAAGAACTATTTGTAATTTTCCAGCTGTGGAAATGTTGCCTTGTATTTAGAAAGGTTTCATGATTTGGAGACCTGATGAAAATCATGCCCATTAGATACTAGCCTGCATTTCTTTCTGTACAGGATGCCCTTTCTAAGATGCATCTTGAAACAAAAAAAACTGCTGTCTTAATGTGTTTACTGCTGCACTGGGGGTTTATTTATGCTTCCAGCTTTAAAGAAAGATTATTGTCCTACATCAAGTATGTAAAGTGAGCTCATGCTTTTCTGCTCTTTCTGTACCATTGCTGTTGTAGCTATGCTGGAGGCATTAGCTGGGCTTTGACAACGGTGACTTTAGAGCATGTTGACTAACTTCCTCTTCTTTGAAGTACTTGCTGAAGGATTATAGCACTGCTGTGTTCATGATGCTAGATTTAAGGGTCTGTCAGCACTTTTGGTATGAAACCCTATTTTCAGGGATTTATAACTTACGAATTTCAATACAGTCACTGGAAGTATTTAATATGCAATAGGTAGCACTTTAATCTGTTTATGAAGGGGTTTGAGATTTGTTTCTGTTGAAAAGGTCACAGTCTCCTAAAGCATGGTGGGCATTTGCTTTATCTTTTATAATTTTTATCTACATTGAAGAAGCCACTGTATGTTACAAGTGGTCAAGCCATTCCTATTCATCTTAGAATCTTCCAGATGTCTTGTATTAGAGTGTATTATAAAAAGCTGAAGATCCAGGTTATATAGGAAGTCTGTAAAAGATAGGAACATTACTTATAACTTAACGGTTTTATTTTGTCTTGTGCAATCAATGGTAGTTTGTCTACATTTAATAATGGTACAGAGTCCTAACTATATGCACTTGTGAGAACTATGAACTTAGAATGCATGAGAAACCTTTATTTTTGTTCCATTATTGCAACTTCAGATCCTTTAATTTTGATTAAAATGTTATCTTAATATTTTAATTTTTGTTCATTAAATAAATATTGCATGTCTAACACTAATAAAGCACCACAATGCACTACTGCAGTATTTATTGAATTGTGACATGAATCTGTGTTATGCAAAGCATGTGACTCCTAAACTCCACGATGCTAAGGCTCTCAGACCACAGAGAGGAGTATTTCCTTTGGGACAGCTCTGAATGAATATCCCAGATGTTTGCAGGGTAGCCATTAAGGGGAATCTCTTCAGTAGTGTGCAAAACTTAGAATTAGTGAAAAAAGTTGTGTATTCTTAAATGTCTCAATCTGTATGTCTTTTTTAGTATGGTATCTGCAATCCCTTTAAATGCACTGTTCCTCTGATGCCATGGCTGTGTAAGTATTACCAGGAGATCTTTGGCACTGCAGGCCAGAACAGCATTTAGCATGAGAACAAACACTGTGCAAATTCTGATATGGAAAACATGGCACATAGTTCTCTTAGTCCTTGACAGAATAAAATCCCAGCCAGAATGACAGAAAACTGGAGCATCCTCCCCCATCACCCAGAAGTATTTTTTTCAATGCTCCCACAAGTTTTTCTCCTCTTCCATGAAGCAGCAAAACAGCAAAGTCTGTCCCCTGACAGCAGCAGGTTTTCTGGATGGTGAGAAGGTATGGGAGAAGAATCTTCCACTCAGTTTCTTGGAGCTTTGAATTCCACAGGGATGTGATTCCTTCCCTCACAGCTAATTTGCTCTGTGAGCAGGTCCTTTAGGAAGCCTAGAAAGGGTTCTTCTCTTAGAGGTGTCCACGAAATGTGGTGGTTATGGGAAATCACATCCAATTTGTGAGCTGCCCGTGGACTTCCACACGTGTTGTTATGCAGATTCCATCAGCTGTGTCTCCCCATGGCTCACAGATTTTGCAACTGTCCTGGTGTGTGAGCTGAGGAATGAGGACAGGAGGGGAAGGGATGTTTCAGAAAGCACCACACTGCCTGCTAAATACCAGTTCCCATCTGTAATTCACATCTGGTAACTAATCTCAGCTCCTGTGCCCGTTTGAAAAGGGAGCCACCCCATTTCCCTCCCTCACAAGCATAATGTTTGTTAGCTGATACCAGCCACAATCCTATTGATGATATGAGAGCCCAACTTAATTAAACAGCTTCCAGTTTCCCCAGCATGAAGTTGTCTTTGGAGTTTTCATTATTAACTATCTCAACCCCCCAATAAAGGTTTTCAAGGATATTTTAAATATAGTTTAGCAGTTAAAGAACTATTGAAATGAGATGTAAACTAGAAGTATCATTAAGAAG